TCTCAAAACACTACAGCAAACAAGGCTAAATTTCAATGTCCAAGACAAAACAAATCAAAAGCAATTACAACCTATCAAACTTGTTGTATAAGAAGTCACAAGGAATTAAATAACTCAATTTCCAATTAATATTTCAAATGCAAGAACTGTTCACAAATTACAGGAAAGGTGTTGGAAAATCTGTTGGTTTCAACTTGTTGGTCTTAGTACTACATAAGCAATTCTACTCTTAAGAATTTTGTCACAGGACTTCCAGTGGTCTATTTGTAAGAATGCCTCTTCTCATTAAAAAAACAACACAAACAACAATAGTACCTGAAATACACAATGTATCAATGAATTCCATTCCTATTTCAAAAACAACAAACAGCAGCCAGAGTGATTTCATTGATTAGCTTCTAAATTCTTCTATTTTTCCAGCTTGTCACTAACTTAGTTTTTGCACCCTAGAAACCATTTGCATTACAAGAAGCAAACCAATTTTTCATTGAGGATTAGTATTTTTCAGGGAAACATTAAAAAATATTATTTCATTTAACCTTGTGAACTAGAAGAGGCACTATGTTGACCAGAATCATAACTTCTGTGGAGAAGAATGCTCCTAGCTGCTCAGAGGGACTAGTACAACTCCCTCCAAGGAGAAGGTTATGTAGAGGAGCAACCATGATTCAGGGAAACATAAGAAGAACACTACTACAGTATTGCTGAATCCACAAGATACTTGTACTGGATCTACCATGGAAAGGCTTAAAATGTCATTACACTGTGAACTGGATATGGTTCTAATCATACGCCCACATTACTAGGCAACCACCATATCTATTGCAGTTTTAACAAGTATTACTAAATGTTGTGGATCAATTGAAATTATGTTGTACAGGACATCCCAAATGTTAACTTTGTTCTGAAACTCATCACCAAGGCCTTTGTACTAGAAAGTAGTRCGACWGCAGTTTTGWCTGAATTTAATGTTCTGAATGTTAACTTTACATTCCAATTAACTTTCCAAATGTCAGCAGGGGAGGCGTTGGTTTTCTTCCTCTTTTTTAGCAAACAAGACCAAAAATATTGTTTTGACCACTGGCACCACACTRCCAAGTGAAGAATGGGGATAATACTAGGATCTACATACTAGGCCTAGTACAGTGAGTTAGAACTAGTAACATGATTGTTCCGAATGTTAAGCCCCTGATATTCTTGGGAATGGTAAATTAACAGTGGGAAGCTTAATTCTAACATACATAATGCCCAGTGTAACAGAACTTTAACAGACCCACAACACATAGTAGTATTAGCTAGTGTGGTGTGCTGGACTACCATTTTGCACTTCTACACAGGAGCCACCAGTAACCTTGAAGAA